AGACCTGGTGCAATAGGTTGAGGATGAAAAGTTTAAAATGTTTGATGATGATGATGATGATGATGATGATAATAATAATAATAATAATAATAATAATAATAATAATAATAATAATAGAAAGTTAGAAAAAATATATAAAGTATAAACTGAAATATGAAGAAGTGTACAAGAGTGCATTACAACAGGTGCATAAAGATTGTTTGTTTGTTTGTTTGTTCCCCAAAAATTCCATCTGTATGGAGTGCTTGATTCATTTCAGGTATCCTTGCCAAGGAATCTCCCAACAGGAGTTTTTACATTATGCTAGAGAGAGATCTGTTGGAAGAAATCCCATTCCTAAAAGCTTGTTAATGTTTTCCTTAATCTGTGTTGGCTAATTTACCATTTTTGCAAGGCAACAACAAATACCAGTTAATGTTTTCAGGCACTCTAATTTAGATTTCGTGTCTAACTTCGTAAAACATAGTAATACAAGTGCTTGAAAAACCTTTTTCTTTTAAACTGGTTTCTGGCCTTCCTAAACAATAAGGACTGGATTATATAGCACACTGGCCCGTCTGCATCCAGAAAACATATCTTGCAAACACAATGTTACTTCACAAGGTGGTGCCGTTACTCTTGATCTGTCCATTACTATTCTGAGGATCTAAAATACATGCAAATGTGCAAGAAAAATTCAAGTTGCAACAAACTCCCTGGCAGAGCTTATTGTGGTTTTTAAAGACTACCTAAGTACCCTGCCCTTTGTCTTAAAATACGCTTTAGCTTTACTTCTTTCAATTGATACAAAGCTAATTAAGATGGGTGGCTTGTACAAAACAAAGCATTTATCAGAGGGCACAGCTCCATCTATTCAAGTAGAGCTGTCATTCTGTTCTAACATCCAAGGTAAGCTCTTAGACTATGAATAGCTACTAGTGCTATAATCCAAATTCAAATGACATTGTTTTATGCTAGGTAAACATAAACTTTGAAAGGGATGTACTGCCAGCCCATGTGACACAAGTACTTCATTGTGGCATCTGTATAATGTCATTGAATGCATGCTATGATTTTGATATCCTTGTTATTTGCTCTGGATGTCACTACCCCTTTATTCTCTGTAGTTTGTGGTTACTTTTTAAAAAAGGGTATAATGTTAATGTTATGTTTCAGAACTGACTCAGGGCCACAAAACCAGGTCCCTAATATCATGTTTGATTCAAATTAACTCTTGACAATGTACTAGTAGCCTAAGGAGCATATCAACACTAGAATTCTTTTATAACTCCTCTCTTTTCAATGACTCCTGATAATTAGCCTTCTGCATTGAATACTGTAGTGACTGTGTTTATATACAATCAATACATTGAGAGTTTAAGGTAGAATAATACATGGGAACTCTCTTTTCATAGATGAGAAATAGTGACAGGCCTATGGTGAAATGTGCTATCAGTGGGATATTTAAACTTGACATTCCCAGCCCTCTTTCAAAACCTGGACCAAAATCCATGGGATGCCTTGGCAGTTGACAAACAGCATGAAATCAATATCAAGTTTCCCATTGTCTGGGTTATCATATGAATGTGCCAATAAATAGACAATTCTAATATTCTAGTTTCCAAGTTAGATCTTTTGTTTGGTTTTGCTGTTTCCAGCAATTCTCCATTCATATTTTATTGTTAGAACTCTTCATGCCTTTTTACTTTCTGGTAGCTTTTCAGTCTGTTCTCACTAGCACCTAACAATAGCCCAAACCTGGGTTTTTTTTTTTTAAGGCTGCCCAACTTATCACCAAGTCATGATATTGTCTCATCTCTAATTCATACTGAAGGCAGCTGTAAGTAAGCCTCAGCTTCTCCAGTTTTCAGATATTGATTCCCCTGTTAAGCAGGCAATAAGCCATGACAGCTTTTCTATAGATACCATCTGATATGCTTCATTGATCTTTCTGTTGCTGCTCCTAGGAATGGGATCATTGTGACATTATTGAACAGTCTAGGCCAGTGGGTCTCAACTTGGGCAAAATTCCTGAACTTCAATGCCCAGAATTGCCCAGCCAACATGAGAAATACTGATTTAGGCTGAGAGCATGCCCCCTGACCATTAATCCCTGATTATTTTGCCTTGTATGGCAAATGTTTCTGTTTGCTTCTCATCAGGCTATTCCCTTCATAAGCCATGTCTGGAGTTGATCCTGGCTCAGAGACCTTGATCAGTCTGAAGAGCAGTTAACTAATAGCAGCAACCATATTTGAGAAAGTAGGAGTGAGACAGCTCTCTTTCCCTTGCTTCATGGCACAACATTCCTGTGCCCTGTCAGCTGCTGGGTTGGATATTTCTAAGTTCAGAAGATGGGTGGGATGGATGAGTTTGTTCTCTGTCCCCTTCATTGTGCAAATCCTCAATGTGCCAATCAGATTAAGGCTATTTTAAAATTTGGGCTTAACATACTTTTGAAAAGGGATGCAGTGGCTCAGTGGCTACCTAAGCTTGTTGATTGAAAGGTCGGCAGTTCAGCAGTTCGAATCCCCAGTGCCGCATAACAGGGTCAGCTCCCGTTACTTGTCCCAGCTTTTGTCAACCTAGCAGTTTGAAAGCATGTAAAAAATGCAAGTAGAAAAATAGGAAGCACCTTTGGTGGGAAGGTAACAGCATTCCATGCGCCTTTGGCATTTAGTCATGCCGGCCACATGACCATGGAGACGTCTTCGGACAGTGCTGGCTCTTCGGCTTTGAAACGGAGATAAGCACTACTCCCTAGAGTCAGGAACGACTAGTACATATGTGCAAGAGGAACATTTACCTTTACCTAATGTACTAGACCCAGGTTTTAATATAGGACTCTGAAGTCAAGTAGGAAGGAGCTGTTCTGCTGCCATGAAATTTTGCTTCTGGTCATCTCTTTAAATTTGTCTACCCAACTTTTACAATTCCAGGAACTAATTTTCAGCCCGGACGAGGAGACAGATGCAGAGAATAAACCAACTTTTTCAAACCTTTGGTTTCCTGGGAGGTAAAGAAAGACCAGTCTTTCTTAGCCTGACACTTCTCCATAACTGGGATTGATTGGAGAGATGGCAAGTTTCATTAGAGAGGTGGCTTTTTTAAAGCCCCCAAGTCTCCAGACCTGTGAAGACATTCACAGCATTAGAAAGTTGAAGACCCCTTTGCCATCTTTCCTAATTTGTCAAGAGTGATTCTGACAAAAGGCTAAACCTGCAGTACTGTTATTGCCAGTTGGTTTCCCTGTAGCATGGGTGAAATTGAAAGCTGGGGGTGCCAGTCTTCCCAGTGTGAGAAATGAAAACATTAACCTTTGGCTACAAGCCCAAATAAAAACAATTGGCCTTTGCAAAACAAATTGCTTTATTGGTTTCAGGAGGGAAGAACATTTTAGTGAAACTTGAGAAAGAGTCCCTAGAGCCATGGAGAAGGCTTTACTGTAGAATTCCAATATTCAGAAACTGATACAAAAATTAAATGTGCAGAAGTCTCCCTTAAGCCCTGGGAAACAAGAGAGTACTAGGAAGAAACATAGGCTATTCCTCCCTAACTAACTGGGGTGTAAGAGGGGCAGAAAGAAAAACCAATCAAACCTGCCAAATTCTTTTAGCTCATCTTGATCCCCCCCCCAGAGCCTGTTTTCTGATGTAGGTAACCTCAAAGGGCTAATGGGAAGGGGGCTTAACTTTCCTGCACTCTTTTACCTCTCTTGTTGCTGAGAAGGAAAATACCTTACTACTTAGGCAAGTATTTTTTCCTACCTCTTACCAAACTTGTCTCACATGCCTACATTCCGTTACAATACAATTCTGCATCCTGTGTAGCACCTGTTTAGAAGGGGATCCTCCCACATCTTAAAGTGTGATTTTGGGGAACCAAGACACAGGACATAGAACAACAGGTTGGAAAGGACCTTTGAGGTCTTCTAGTTTAACCCTCTACTTGAGCATAAAATCCTACATCATTCCGGAAAAACAGTTGCCCAACCTCTTCTTGAAAATCCCCAGTGATAGAGCACCTACAACTTCTGAAGGCAAGCCCTTCCACTGATTAATTGTTCTCACTGTCAGGAAATTCAAGGTTGGAATCTGTTTTAATAATCTGCCACCCCTTTCTTCTTGTCTGCCCTCAGGTGCTTTGGAGAATTGGTTGACCCCTCTTCTTCTCTTCGACAGTCTTTCAAGTGCTGGAAGTGTGCTCTCAAGTCACCCCTAGTCCTCTTCCTGAGACTAGCCATACCCAGTTGCCATAACCGATCCCCGAATGCTTTAGCCTCCAGTCCAGCCCCATAATCATCTTAGTTGCTCTTCTCTGCACTCTTTGTAAAAGTCTCAACATCTTTTTTCTTTCTGATGGCGACCAGAACTGGATGCAGATAAGTCAAGGGAAACCCAAAGCTGCTTTTTCAGGAGGCAACTGGACTTACTTTTTTTTTCTTTGAAGACGTTTCGTTTCTGATTCAAGAAGCTTCTTCAGCTCTAATTGGGTGGCGGGGAATGGAAGGAGTGGAAAATCCAGCCACTATTCAGTCAGAGCTGAAAGAAGCTTCTTGGATGAGAAGCGAAACGTCTTCAAAGAAAAAACAAGAAAGTCCAGTTGCCGCCTGAAAAAGCACCTTTGGGATAACCATGACCTGGATGACTGAGAATCTCCATACACTAAGTGAAAAGAAAAGTATGAGAACGGGTCTTAAGGGACGTGTGTGTGTGTGTGTGTGTGTGTTTGTTGTGTGAGTGTTCGTGTGTAAATCTTCCTTCCGGAGGCCCTTCAGGCGGCGTCGGCTATTTGCATCGACGGTGCTGTTAGTGCAGTTCCCTCCGGAGCGCGGCGCTACGAAGCCGCGCCTCGGAGGCCCTGAAAGGAGCGGGATGAGCAGCGAGCAGAGCCACGTTTGAGAGCAACGACGGCCGCGGCCGCTCGTTCGCTCCGCCGCTCTTGCGTGGAAGGGGCTGAGGGGTGGGAGGGACGCGAAGAAACCAGCGCGGCAGCGGCGCTGGGAAAGCGCTGCCCGCGGAGCCCGAGAGCGGGCGCCTTTCTTGGACGCCGGGGAAGGGGGCGGCGGCTGTTTCGCTAGTCCCGCTGCCCGCGGAGAGAACTTCCACTCGGAGCAACAGCCCGGAGCTTCTGCCGCCGGTGGCGGCGCCTGTGCTGCGGTGGGAAGCGACCACGCCTCGCGGACTCGCAAAGGCGGTCTCGGGCTCTGGAAGCGTGACGAGAAAGAGGCGGAGGGAAAGAAGGCGGCAGCGGCAGCGGCGGCGGGACCCGCAGCTCGGTGGGCGTCTCCTCGCGGGACGGAACCCTCTCTCGCTCGCTCGCTCTCTCGCCGCCGCCCCATCCTGTGGCTACCACCATGGCCGCGCGGTCCCGGCGCCCCTGGCTGAGTGTCGTGCTGGGGCTGGTCTTGGGGTTCACGGTCGCCTCTTGGCTCATCGCCCCCAAAGTGGTCGAGCTGAGCGAGAGGAAAAGGCGCGGCGGCCACGGCGGCTCCCTGAGTGGAGGCGGCGGCGGCGGCGGCGACGGCGGCAATAACCTCTGTGCTTTCTATGGCCGCGTGGCTGGTCTTCCCGGAGGAAAGAGGCAGCTGCGACCCGAGGAGCCGGCGGTAACGGCCGCCGGCTTGGGGGGCACTGGCGGAAGACACAGGCGGTGGGAGAAGGAGAGGGAGCCACGGCCGCCCCCGGCGCCGCCCGCCGCAGATGGGCCAGTGCCGAGTCTCCCGGTTGCAGCTGCTGGAAGAGACCCTCAGGAGGAGGACGAGGAGGAAGAAGGCGGCGCCGGCCGCCACGGCAGCAGCCACAACGGCAGCGGGGACTACGCGGGTACCCCGGGCTGTGCCAAAACCCGGCACTTCCTTTACGTCGGGGTGATGACCGCCCAGAAGTACCTGGGCAGCCGAGCGCTCGCAGCGCAGCGGACCTGGGCGCGCTCCATCTCCGGCCGGGTGGAGTTCTTCTCTAGCGAGGGATCGGTCCCTCCTCCCGGCCTAAAAGGGGAGCAGCCCCTGCCGGTCGTGGCTTTATCCGGCGTGGACGACTCGTACCCGCCGCAGAAGAAATCTTTCATGATGCTCAAGTATATGTACGACCACTACCTGGACACCTATGAGTGGTTCATGCGGGCGGACGACGATGTCTACATCAAAGGTGAGAAACCAGAGTTCTCTTAGCGTGACTTTGTCTTGTGCAAAAGAGAGAGAGAGATGAGAGGGATTGACCATGTGCAGAGGGCACCAGTGGTTGGGATCCGAAAAGTGTAACTAGCACCAGGAGGCTTGCCTGTTGGTATAGATAAAGGGCAGGGCTTTTTGCACGCTTTAAAACCTGCCTTTTTGCAGATGCAAAAACTGTGCAGCATCTGTCCACATATTCCACATGCTCCCAAAACTTACTAGATATCTGAAATGATGAGGGATCAAATCCTACTGAAATTCTGCATGAACCTGCTAAACATTTTAAAAGACTGAGCAAGTAAAGAAACCGTCTTATTTGGACTCACTGGTCCCTTGTTATCTGCTTGTCAAAACCGACTCATAAACAAGCTACGAAAAAGTACACCTTTACAAAAAGACTTCTGTGATTTGAGTCAACTCTTGGTGGTTGCGTGAATACACTCCTTGTCCAGAATCATCTAACGGAAGAATGGCAATAGCCATGCAAACATATTAATAGATTTCAAGTTACTGCAAAACCTGGGTCTAAGGGCAATAATGTACCATTGATAACAGTTAGGGTATTCTATAAGAAGGATTATATTTAGACACAGCCTGCTCTTGGTTGAATCCAGTAGTGATTTGGAGTTATTCCCACCCGCAAAATTTTTGCACATTGTTGAATGTGTAGAATTTCACTGTGTACCTTGAAATCAATGAAAAGGTGGAAACAAAGTTTAGTAATGTTTTTAATTTAAATTATATTTTCAGAAACCTTTACAAAGAAGGGAAGGTAGGCTTCCTCAGCTGAAGTGCCCAGAGAAAGTTTTGGGGTGGGGAGAGTGACAGAGGGAATAGACAAGGTTAGGCATTGAATATGAGATCTCTCTAATTGATATTGATAACTGAGAATAAAGCATGAGATAGAATATATTATATTATATATTATATTAGAATATAAATGATATAATCCTTTAATTAGATTTGGAAAATGAGAAGTGCCACAAAATAAACTAGATTAGTATTTCTGTAATATACCATATTAAACACTGTATTAATATAATGTACAAACTAATTTACGAAGTCTTTTTCCAACTTTATTTAATATTCTTGTATACTAGTAATAAATTACAGAGTAATAAATTGTTAACCAACTCTCTCTGTCCATAAATAGAATGCAACATAAATAAACGAGTGGAATTAGAAAGAAAAAATTGTAGAAGTCCTTTTCAATGTGGTGGTGTCCCTAAATGTTTTCAACTACTGTTTCCATCATCTCCATTGCTGGGAATTGCATTGTACACATCTGGAAGCAGCTGGATTAAGTTGTAGAAGTCTGGTTTATAGTTTCTGAAGTAGCAAATTGCCAGATGTGAGTTTTATTTTCTCTTTATTTCAAAGGTTTTAATACCAGCTCTTAGCTGGCATAGTCTTTAAATTGCAGGGTAAACTGAATTGACAGATCCTCAGAATTTTAAAGGAGTATCAGTAATATTTATCAAACGTCTCAGTTCATAAGGTTGTTTTGTAAATTCTAATTCCAACTAATTTAGGTTTTTAATCAAGTATGTCTCATTGAAACTGTGCCTTGTAATACAGATAGTCCTCGACTTACAACAATTCATTTAGTGACTGTTCAAAGTTACAGCGGCACTGAAAAAGGTGATTTATGACCATTTTTCACAGTTACCACCTTTGCAGCATCCCATGATCATGTGATCAAAATTGAGATGCTTGGCAACTGGTTCATATTTATGATGGTTGCAATGTCCTGGATCCTTTTGTGACCTTCTGACAAGCAAAGTCAATGAGGAAGCCAGATTTACTTCATCAGGTGACTAACTTAACTGCAGCAATTCACTGAACAACTGTGGCAAGAAAGTTTGTAAAATGGGGCAAAACTGACTTCTCAAATGTCTCACTTAACAGAAATTTTGGGCTCAATTATGGTCTTAAGTTGAAGATTGCCTGTACAATTTTATATCTGGAGTAAATATATAGGATTCTATAGTTCTTAGAAAAGTATCCTTTGACAAGAATGTAAACTTGATAGCTAGACAACTAAATCATTCTTTCTTGTAATTAATAAAACAGCCTTTACTGCATCTATTGTATAAATACATCTCAGCTCTTCTGGATACTTGCCTGACATCCACTAAAATAGTTGAATGTACAGTAAATCATTTTTTTGCAAAGTAATTACAGTGCACTCTTTACTTTTTGAACAAAGTATAGCTAGATCACTGAAATGAAGAGGGATCCGTGCAGAATATTAAAAATTTGATTAGGACCCTAAATTCTGTGTAGGTTAGTGGGCTTTGTATTGCAGAACTACAAAAAACAATCCATTTACTGCTATATGTTGTGATTTCTCCCTAAAATGACAGGCTAGAAGGGGAATAGATGCTTCGTGATTGATATGCCTCCTCTCTAATCATAGACAAAGCTTTGTTCTAGTATCTCCAATCATAGTACTTTAGAGAAATAATATGAAGCATTATGCTATCTTTTTCTTTTCAAAGACAAAACATTACAATTTTTTTCTTTGTCTTTGTATTTTAAAGTTGTATTTTTAAATTTAGTAAGAATTCAAAGGAATTGAACTTTAAAACACTTGTACATATTTCTCTGGAAGTAGGCAGGATTCCTCTCAAGAATACCATGTACTGTGTCTGCCTATAGCAAAATATGGGTTTTCCATACTAATCAGTGAAAAATTGATTTTTTTTTAATCTTGCTTAAGAGGAGACAAAACCAAACCACTCAGCTTCTGAATTTATCAAAATAAAAATATGTGCTAAATTATGAATTTATGTAAATGTGTGTTTGCATGAAAAGAGAGAAATACATGCAAAGAGTAAATAGATTATTATTGAAGATGCTTTTAAGACACATGTTTATGAAACATGTTTATGAAAGAAGGGTTTGTGTACTGTTGGCCTTAGCAGACTGTGATACTGCTAACAAAATTGATTTTCATTACACAATATGATGCAATTTAATTCCCATTGCCTGGGAGTAAGGCTCATTATACAAAGAACATTTTAAAAGGCGAATATATTATTTTCTTTCTAAAAGATAGATTTGTGCTGTACATAATATCTTTTGATTTTTTTTCCCCTTTTAGGTGAAAAATTGGAGGAGTTCCTTCGGTCACTGAATAGCAGCAAACCTCTTTATTTGGGACAGACTGGACTAGGAAATACAGAAGAACTTGGAAAATTGGGTCTTGAACCAGGAGAGAACTTCTGCATGGGAGGGCCTGGGATGATCTTCAGTCGTGAGGTTCTCAGAAGGATGGTACCACATATAGGTGAATGTCTTCAAGAGATGTACACGACTCATGAGGACGTGGAAGTGGGCAGATGTGTTCGGCGATTTGGTGGTACTCAGTGTGTCTGGTCATATGAGGTAAGGAATGGTGATGATGGCATTTGTACGTTATATGAGTAAACATTTCAGCTGCACACTCTGACCCCATGTGTCTGTCCACAAAAATACACAGCATGTGCGGTGTTGCAGACCTAATCAACATATTTTAAGATATTGTATGATTAACTCAATGGGCTGTGCTATTTTGCATTCATGCCTGACAGCAACCTAATGTATTTTGTTTTGTTGACATGATGACATGCTACAAATCAGTTTACACTGAGTTCAACGTATGCCAAAGTATCATACCATCCTCAGTTACTGTATGTACTATTGGGCTGGAACTCAATTAATTGGAGGGATGGGTTGTATGAATGAAATTTAGTGCTTATTCTTCATAATTCTAAACACCACCATGACAGGATACATTCTGGTACATTGTTTTGTTATTTCATAGTTTGAGTACTAACTTTAAAGTGCATATATAAATAATGTAATAATCCATATATTTATTTAGATTGTAGCAATACCTGTCAGGGATTTATTTCTGGTTTAGTATAGAGCTTCCTGACTTAATGGAAAAAGTTTTGGCATCACTTCTCAGAATGCAGTTTGCTGTTGGAACAGAAAATTTGGACTTTTCTATCTTATGAAAAGTAGTCTTCTTGCAATCCAGTTTGGCACGGAGTTGCCAGTTGTGTTTGAGCTGGATTTGCTTTCGAATGATTTCTCAGTCTCTCCCAGACTAAACATTATGACCTTGAGACAGCAATTTTGATCTCAAAATGTAGCTATAATACTAAGATAACACTTTCAGGGATGTAGGAACATAGAATACTTTTATATGGTCAAAGCATATTTCAAACTTCTGAATGTTTTACATATGTCTGGGCATACATCGCTTTATGAGTTAACTTAACCTTACTCCTTCTAAGAAAGAAGTTAAAAACATCCTCTCCTGCTATATCTTTGTGGTGGTATGATTCTATTGGCTTGTAATTCTTTATTTTAAATTGTTACTCCTCATGAGTTTCTTACAGGTGAAATAATATCTACTTACCTATAACATTAATCTCAAGTATTTTTTGCTTAACATTAAGACATGGACATATAGCAGAAATCACAATAGGTTCTTTTCTACCTAATACACACATCAAAATAGATCTGGTCTTGCATTTCCAGTAAAGACATGCATACATGTTTTCAACAAGCAGTCATGGATTCCTGGAAGTTATAACATTCTATTTCATTCACTTCTGAATATTACCATATGTGGACTTTCTCATTCTTCTACTCTGCAGAGGGACATGTTCCCCTTCTCGATCTATTGATTTTAATTTTGGTTCATGGAAAAACATTTTTGAAATGGAAAGAGTGTCAAGGAGTACATGGGGTATGATATGGTGTTCCTTATGTAAAATAAAATCATTTTACTGGTTGTGCTTAAAACAATTATTACTTATGACATTAATAGGCTATTAAAATAGATGTTATAACCCAGCTTCCCAAACACAACAAATCCTCTGACATGAACTCAAAAGGTTATTAGGAGTGCTGGCAGCCCTGGCAAAAAGTTTCTCTCACAGGCTAACAAGTCCATCCATCCGGTAGATGAATAGTTGTCTGCCACATTTATTCATCTCTGCCTCCTACCTTTTATCCCCAGAGCTAGGGTGGGGCTTTGCTAGCAACGGTGGCTCTTCCTTCCCCAGGATCGGCCCACGGCTTTCCACTGCTCTCCTCTTCTCTGCCTTCTGTGCAGCCACATGTTGGGCACTGGACCCAGCTGTTCCTCCTCTTCTTCATCAACCACCTCCAGACCTGGGGGCTGTTGACTCTCCATCTGAGGGCTGACGGATGGCCCAGGCTCTGCCTCTGTCTCTCTCTCTGCCAGCTCCATTCCCTCTTCTCCCTCGGAACTCTCGGGTTGCCCTGATGCCGACCCTGATTCTCATGCCTCCTCCTCTGATTCGGCTACTGGAGGGGCCAGCGGCCAACAGGCCACAACAATATATTATAAATGCAGAGTAGATAGATAGTGTTACATATTATATAGAGCCTCAGTGGTGCAGGGGACTAAAGTGCTGTTAAGTGTGCTAGCACTTAGCTGCCAGCTGCCTGCAATTAGTGCAAGTTTGAATCTCACCAGGCTCAAGGTTGACTCAGCCTTCCATCCTTTCGAGGTAGGTAAATTGAGGACCCGAACTGTGGGGGCAATAAGCCAACTTTGTATAGAACAACACCGCTTAGGGGGCCCAAAAGCCCTAATAAGCAGGTATATACAAAAAAAAAGTATGCAGGCTATTGCTATAATGCATTGTAAACCGCCCTGAGTCTACGGAGAAGGGTAGCATATAAATTGGACTAATAAATAAATAAATAATAAATATTATGGAATTACTTTAGTTGGCAGAAGTAATTTATGTTTTCACTATTGAAACATACAGTGCATTAATAGAATACAGTGGTTTATTCCCTGTAAGACTTATTGCAATCTTAATATTGTTTAGGTACTGACTTACGATTTTCGGGAATGCCATTTGAAGGTTATCTTCCATTCTTCCATTATGTATGGCGAGCAACAGTTTTAATGTATCATCCCAAATTCATCTCTTGATTTCTCACAATGTGGTCCTTTTTTGTGGTGACAACTTCTTCCTAGTCAAAATTCTCAATATGCAATCATGTTGCTTCATATGCCTGGAACTACAAAATTAAAAGACTTTTTCCAAACCTCAACATTTAATTGAAATACATCTGAGATCACCACATTGATTGGATAGCATTGAGATTACGTGATTTGCCTAGATTTATTCTGTAAATTGAAGACATAAAGATGTATAATTATTATTGTACTTATGTTCTAAATTATTGTGCTACTAATTTAGTATTAAAATATCCTTGCCCTTGTGTCACTAGCTTATTAAACAGGGGAAAAAATCAATTTAAATAGGCCAGTGAATGAGGTTATATGCTATGAAAGACAAGACAGAGAAGAGTAATTGGATTTACTGATAACATAGCATGCTTCCATTTTCTTTTGAAAAACATTTTAAAAGTAAAGTCTGCAACATAAAATGCCTACTACAATCATCTAAATTCCAATCATGTTGTTAAAACACAGAATATTAAAATATAATGAGGAACAAATATATGACCTCTGTAATCACGTAAAACCCTTAAACTTCGGGAAAGTTGGAACAAATTTCCCCTTCCTGTGTCAACAGCTTATTTAAAGATGAACACCAGTGTATTGGGTGAACAGGAGCAAAAATTCAGGGGCCTGGGCAAAAGTCTGTTGGTGCATCATTATCTTTCATCTGATTGAGAGCGAAAGCAGTTTTAATCATTTTTGACATATATCAAACCTTTTGATTAATTAAGTGCCATCTGGTCAGTGTTAACCCTTAGACACCCTAGATAGCTCTTCTTCAGGATGATCTATAACCAACTTTGTCCTTCAGGTCTCCCATATTGCACTCATGGTCATAGTAATTATGGTAATTAATCACTTTACTGCTGGTTGCCATCTTCCCTTTCCTTCCACCTTTCCAAACATGATGGACTTTTCAGGGGATATGTGTCTTGACACATTGTGTTCAAGATAATTTGAGTGTCTTAAAAACTGTGGGTTGTTCAATGAACTATTTGTTTTCTTGCAAATAGTTCAGAAAGCATCAATATTCTTTCTATCCTGCTTCTTCAGAGTCCAATTTTTGTTTCCCTAGAATGTCCTAAAGAAAACCATTGTCTCTACAATTCTGATTTTTTTAAAATAGATATAGAGACGTCAAACATTTGGATATCTTTCCCTAGGCCTTCATTGTTACATGTCCAAATGGTAGTCTGAGCCATATTGATTAATTCCTGGTTTCTTTGCTGTTGATAATTTATCATAAAAGACACAAGCTTTCTGTCATTTCACTGTTTGTTGCTGAAGATTGCCGCTGTGCCTGTTGACATTAGTTTGCTCTTCCTTGTATATAATTATAATCCCATTTTTTTCATCATGTCACTTGATTTTCATTATTAGAATCTCCAGTAAATTTTTATTAAATTATCAGAGTAATATCATCACGGCAGTGCAGGTTATTCATGTTTCTTTTTTTCCAGTTTTAAAACTATACTCATCTTCATACAGTCCAGTTTCAATTAATATATAATTACCATATCAGTTGAGTAAATAAGGAGACAGTATACAGTCTTGTCTCACTCCTTTGTGACTTGGAGCCAGTCTGTTTGACCGATTTCTTTCAGATTGTTGCTTTCTGGATATAGGTTTCACATTACAGCAGTGAGATGTTTCAGATTCCCCTTTTCCCATGGAAGTTCTGTGCTTAATGTGGTTAACATAACAAAAGGCCTTTCTATCGTCAATGAAGCACACACTGATCTCTGTGGCTTTCTTGATTATCTATGGTGCATCTGCAATAATCTCCCTTGTTTCTGTTTTAGCTTTTCTAAAACCAGCTTGCGATTTCTATGTAGGACTCTAATCTGTTTTGGATGATTGTAAGGATTATTTTGTCGGCACGTGAAATTAGGATATTGTGTGATAAATAGCACAATATCCTCATGTTAAGTCTCTCCTCTTTGCTGCTGGCATGTAGACCGACTTCTTCCAATCCGTTGGCCAAATTGGAATTGTATTGTTTTTCATATTTGCTGGTAGAGTTTGATTAGAATTGATTCTTCTTTTGTTGCACGTCGTATTTCTGCAGATAGTTCATTAGTTCCTGTAGCCTTCCAATTTCGTAATGACTTTAGTTCTGACATAGTTCCACCATGTAGTACTAGAAATTATTATAAGTAGAGACTATCTTTAAGGTATCTTAGCTTAAGCAGATCCCTACCGTATGGAATTTCAGTATACTCCATTTCAATTCATTGACATTAAGTGTACAGGTAGTACTTTACTTACAAACATTTGTTTGTAGAGTGTATCCCTACTCTACTGACTGTTCAAAGTTACAACACCACTGGAAAAAGTGACTTACAATTTGTCCTTGCACTTATGGCTGTTGTAGCATCTCTATGGTCATGTGATCAAAACTCAGTCACTTGGCAACAGCATATATTTACAAAGGCTGCAGCATCTCTAGATCATGTGATCACAATTTTCAACCTTCTCAGCAGGCTTCTGAAAAACAAAATCAGTGGGAGAAGCCAGATTTGCCTAATGACCATGTGATTAACTTAATAACTGTAATGATTTGCTTAACAACTGAGACAGACAATATCATAAAATTGGGTGACAACTACCTCGCTTAGCAACAGAAATTCTGATCCCAATTGTGGATCTATGTCAAGGACAACCTGTAGGTGATTTATTTCATCTTTTCCTGCGCTGAGTTTTCCCAAGTTCATTCTTCTTACGTTCTGTATTTACAGCAGGACTACGAGATTCTGTAAGAGCTTTGTTCCTTGTGCCATCTGCCTTGTAAATTTGCAGGATTTTTTTTTTTTTGCCATGTATATGTATACATTTGAACTAGATTGTGATCTTTCTCTGTGTCGTGTGTGTATGTGGGTATATGCATAATGGTTATCCTTTGAGAGCAGAATGCAACAAAATTTCATTTTAATTATGCTGATTAGTGTACATTTAGTGACAATAAATTTCTCTTCATTTCTCTCCTCTCCTCTCCTCTCCTCTCCTCTCCTCTCCTCTCCTCTCCTCTCCTCTCTCCTCTCCTCTCCTCTCCTCCCCTCTCCTCCCCTCTCCTCTCCTCTCCTCTCCTCTCTCTCCTCTCCCCTCCCCTCCCCTCCCCTCCCTTCCCTTCCCTTCGCTTCCCTTCCTTTCCCTTCGCTTCCCTTCCCTTCTGTTCCACTCCACTCCACTCCATTCATAGTCTCATTGTAATTATCCCTTATAGCAGTGGTTCTCAACCTGGGGGTTGTGACCCCTTTGGGGTCGAACGATCCTTTCACAGGAGTTGCCTAAAACCATCAGAAAACACATATTTTCTGACAGGAATAATTTTATGGTTGGGGGTCACCACACCATGAGGAACTGTATTAAAGGATTGCTGCATTAGGAAGGTTGAGAACCACTGCCTTATAGGACTTAGTTTCCAGTTCTTTTACCTTTTTTGGTACCCTTCTCTGGACTTGCTCCAGTTTACCAATGTCTTTTTCAAACTGCAGAACTGAATGCAATATTTCAAATGAGGTCTGACCAAGAGCAGAGTAGAGTGAGAACACACTCCCTGCCTGCACCCCCTCCCCATTTTCTGGACATAATGAGGCAGCAAATGAATTTTGTTTCTGTAAATTCTGGGTTCATTCTTTGGAGGAGGTGTCTTAACTCTAAGCTTTCTAGGGTAAGAGCAACTTCCTAGCTGGTACACTTTTTTTTTGCCTTAAATTAACATTTTTATTTTTACTTGAGAAGGTTTTTACTATAAGTACACTGTGAGGATGAAACAGATGAACCGTGAGGGTTAGAGCTAGGTAGCAAAACACGGATTGCAGAAAGAAAGAAGCAGATAACTCCCACCAATCTAGGGAAAAGGGAGTAAATCTTTTGGTTCTTTGGTTGTGTATTTTTCAATTCTAATGGCAGGGGGGAGGGGAAGAGAGTAAACTGGTAAGGAAAGTTCTTAGCTTTCCATTTCTTACTTTCTCATTGACCCATCAAGGAAACAATCACATAATTGTCTTAACAAAAATATAAAAGTGGTTAAATATGAAAGTGATTTGCCATTTTCTTTTTCTGGAATGGTAGAAAAAGTTCCAGAGCCTTGGAAACTTCTAGAACTCTGGAATTTCCTTGTGGTTACCCATACAAGTACCTGATTAATTTTTTTCTAGGATGGTAACAACGTTAGAACAATTTGTTTGTATCCAGAGTAGCAGGATGGTGTGGAAAGATAAGATGGCTTGGAAGTGTTGAATGGCAAAAGTGTCCTCTTCCTCAATCTAACAACCCCGTGGTCTTGTATGTGTTCTTGTGGAAGAATGTCCCGTAGAATGTGTGAATTTATATTCATGTACTGTATATAATTTTCATGCTTTATTTTTCACAGTTGTGTTTGCACAAGAATAGCAATGGCAATAGCACTTAGACACATATACTGCTTCATAGTGCTTTACAGCCCTCTCTAAGCGGTTTACAGAGTCAGCATATTGCCTTCAACAATTTTGGTCCTCATTTTACTGTCCTTGGAAGAATGGAAGGCTGAGTCAACCTTGAGCCGATCAGAATAGTTCTGGAGAGTGTGCTTGCTTTGGCAGCACGTATACTAAAATTGGAACGATACAGAGAAGATTAGCATGGCCCCTGCGCAAGGATGACACACAAATTCTTTTTTTTTTTTTTTAAAGAATAGTTCTGGAGTAACTTACAACTTTCATTTACTCTGACTCTGGTTTCTGTTGTTCTCTCTTCCAGTAACCTTTTCAAACCTGATTCTCTCTGCATGGTATCTGCTTTACTGATTTCTTTCAATATCTCCCTTCTAGTGCTTTCCTCAGCAGTTACAGAAGGTAGAAGAAAAACTGCTAGAGTTTTCACCTTTCTCACCACACCAACTGTAAGGTAGCCCTCTTCTACAAAAGGGTCCTGAGAATAAGATGTTTTCACACTTTCAAGAATGTTTACAACCTTTCAAGAAAAACAATTCTCTCCGTGAGGGAGAAAAACAACAGCAAAAGAGGACGCTTCCTTGAATCTCTACAGTCCCTGAAGGAATCCAGGAGGGGGGGAAATGGAAGGGAAAAAAGACAACAAATAATTTTGGGCACATCTTTGGCGAGCGGGATATTTAGGCAGAATTTCTGAAAACAAGACAGGCTACACCACCCCTATCCATCATACATCATGCATTAGGCATAAAAGCAGTTTTCCGAACTGGCTTTTTTGGAATTCTGTTGGAAGAATATATGAATATTTTCAAAGCTTAGATATGAGAGGCTTCTGCTAAGTGGTTTTTTTTTTTCTCTCTCTCTCATTTGGAGTTCCTGATGCTCATAAAGGCTTGCTGAAGGAGAATCTGCAAACAGAATGACTGTGTGGAATGGAGAGCTGGGGACCCAGGGCCAATTTGGGTTACTGAGGCATATTTAATGGCTGTCAGGATTCTAGTAATAAATCTCTAGGTAAGATGGGCAGCAAACAAATCTGACAAACTAACGAAGTCTATAATGGCTGTGAAGATTGGAAGATTCTTTTTTTAACTCTGTTTTTTTCTTTTTCACTCTTCATTGCTTTGACACTTTTTTTAAAAAAAAATTCTATTCTAACCTTTATGTTTTGTGTTTACCTTTCTAACCTTGTAAAAAAATCTTCAATAAAATTATATCGTTATATGACTAGATATGGTGACCTCAATGACTATATATAGTTGCTTTTCTGCCTATCCACAGCCCTAAATAGCTATGGCATTGCCCCATTTATCTATGTGGGTAAATGCTTTGGGAGCCGGGATACTGAATAACTGTGAAACATAGCAGTGGAAAAGATGGAAGAAATAGGTACCAGGTGGTTATTAAAAGGGACTGTGTTCTTATTTTGGTGGAGGGCAGTCATCTGTTTTTAGTGGCTTCTGTTTGGTGTGCTGTGTTGCATGTCTGGGTAGTTTCATCTGAGTTCAAACCAGATAAAGGAAGAAGCCTGATATTTCCTCTACAACTGATAGTTTACTTCAGACTGAGGTCCCTCAATTTATTCTTACAGAATATAATGCTGGCATCCAAAACCAATATAGTCCATCAATATAGATGTACATCTCATCCAAACAGTAGAGATTTAAGTTTTGAGAGACAATACTTGCAGTAGGGGTGGGTAGCAGTGACAGTAATCTTTATTAGAATCACTGACTGGAATTGGATAGCTAATAAAAATAAATATTGACTGACTAATTGTGTTGTGTATCCTGGATCTGAAATATTTGCAGGTTTCTTGTACATACCTTGTGACTTTAGGATATTTGTAGGCAATCCTTCTGATTGACTTTGTTACTTGCATAGAAAAGAGATGTGCGAGTTCATAATTATAATCTATGGAAACGGGACAAAAGATCTGTTTTAAGCTTGGATAATGTTTTCTAAAACTAGTAAATGATTTCTGGGAAGCCTTTTATATGCTTCATTCCTGGCTAAGTATTTGTTGATAATTCTGTTTTGTTTGTTTATTATATGCTGCATTAAAAGAACTTTCTTTTTGAGAAGCATTTGTGAGATACTCAGAGCATCTTTTCTAGATAAACGTTATTTATCTATATATCTTTATTTTTTAGATTCTTTCCCGGAAATACAATATAATCAATTAATTCCTGAAATTTTCATTATTATAGTAAAATTGACAGCTCTTCTATAATGCAAAGTATTAAAAGAATATTAAAAGAATAAATCATGTTTCCTTTTGCTCTGTTCCCTAAGACAGAATTTATTTATTTATTTAAATTTATTGATGGTCCAACTCAAGTGGACTCCATGGTTAATATAGCCAAATCAGAAGTTACAGAAAGGCACCGGCAAGAATTACATTATATGGTGAGAGATGCAGCTTGGAGTGTCTTTACCCAAAGAATCACTAGGAATCAGCTCCTATTTGACAAACCATAAAGGAACACACAACACAAACCATGATTTTGACATTACTCTATAGCCTAATGCAGTAATACTGGGAAAAATGCAACAAAATAAAAAGAAAAAAAATGTACATAATTATTCTTCTGATTAAGTTTTGTGTGATTTTTCTCCATTGATTTTTAGCTATATATGTTCAATTATTATTAAATATTGACTATAAATATATTGATTTTTTTTCTAGAAACATTTAGGTTATGATAAATTTGTTACCATATGTAATAGTTTAATATTTACTAATAAGCAAACAATATTCATTTGCTGAATCTGTTCAGTCAATGAGCTAGTGTAATTGCTAATGAAGAGGAACCCATTTTTATGCATATGAACCACTTAAACAGCAATAAACTAACAAATGCAGAGTTAAATGTTGCCTATGCTTATCCCTTATGCATAGTAATAGTGCCTTTATTCATAGTATCTTAAATTAACAGAATTTGGCAGTGTTCTGTTCTGGGGAATGAACAGAGTGGATATCTTGGACTATTGGATTAAATTGTGGTGTTTATTTAATAGGACTAATTCCAATCTTGCGTCTGCTTGTGTGCTCTCCTCTAGTGTAGTTGCGAGAATCTGGAAGTTTATTATTAGTTGTCCACTATGCTACCTTTGAATGTTAAAATAAAGCTAATAATTTTAAATCTTATTAATATGCACAATCAGTTTCTTGGTAACATGGGCAAGAAATGGATTTGCTTCAAATAAATTATAATTGAAATGAACAAATTTGTTCATTTTAGGTGACACAAAACTGTTGGAAGAAAATCTACTATTTTTACTTGCACAGTAGGAGATGAAAAGCAGCTGATTCTACTTTATTGCATTGTCCAGATGCAGCTGTAATGGAGGTGTTTGCTTCACACACTAGATTACTCAGTGAATTTGCCCAACACATTAGATAAATTTGTGATTCAGTGTGTTCTACAAACCAGGCTGTGCTAAAATCATAGTCATAGCTAATGATTCTTCCACATACAGACAGGCATTGATTCACATTGAGCATTAGTGCTTATTTTCTTTTATAGCATAATATGGATTGGAATTGAGCACACAAACATTAGTTTTAACCCCCTATGTTTATTTTTAGATTTTTTTAGTCCTTTTGGGGTAATTCAGACATGGAGTAAGACATTTTTTGATCGGATGATTGGAAGTTCATCAGACAGCCTATCTCAACTGGAGTTCCAGTTGTGATTGCTGAAATCTGTTCACATTGTGTTCTCCACAGGAGGGCAGTGATTTTACTTCTAAGTCCTCTTTTTAATTCATTTAGCATTGTTGCTCCAGAGAGCACTTTGTAGTGAATAGTGAGTGACATGAAATGCTACTGCTTTCTGCTCTGGTAACCAGAAATCCTTCGATACTAAAAATGCATTTTCTTTACATGGAAATAACATGATACGAACCTAACCAATATTAGCTGGAAATATAAGAATATTAATATGAAGCCAGCACTGGTTAAGAGTATTCTAAGTTATTAATGGCTTGTATATTAGCACTGTTAAAGAATATTCTTACTACTTTTGTGTGTGTGTGTGTGTGTGTGTGTATGTGAATGTGTGTGTGTGTGTGTATAAGTGTGTGTGTGTGTGTGGCATGATATGGCATGATAAATTATGTTATCCTAAATTATATTGATTAAATGTCAGTTGAAACTGGGAACTAAAGATAAAAAGAGAAGCAGAATATATTTTCTCTCCATAAATAAAATGATAATGCATTCCCAAAATTCTGTCTAGCTTCATATGTCTTGTACTGTATCAGTTCATTAATAACCTTGTTCAGGTATTTTTGAAATTAAGTCATTGCCATGAGATGGAAGCTCCGATATGTTCCCGCTGATTTCATGGGTCTGTTTCTTTGTTTCTGGCAGTGCAGTCTGGCAATTAAACAGCAGTCATATGGTCTTTGCATTCTGTTCTTAGGTGTGATGACTAAATCTAATTAATGTTGAAACAATTAACTTATGTAGTAGTTATATGTAGAGCATTAAGGAAATTATTAATGTCTGGTCACGATGGTGGGAAATAGTTTATATCCATTTAAAGTGAATTTTTGAAAAACAGTAAGCACAAGAGGTCTTGTTTTTAAATTCCTGCATTTCTTCAAATAATTGGAGGGAGACAAACCAACAGTAGCAATCAGTTAAGGCAAATGTTCTTATATTTGGGGAAATTAGGATTTATTTATTTTACTTGCTTTATTTATACTCTTATCACCGTGATGGTGAACCTATGGCACGCGTGCCACAGGTGGCATGCAGAGCCCTCTCTGTGGGCACGCCAGCCGTCGCCCCAACGCAGCTGTCCCCACGTGCGTGCGCACCTCCCACCGGCCATCTGGTCTTTGGCTCTGCTGCGCATGCGTGGGGGGCGGGGCACTTGCAGGGATGCATGCGTGCATGCACGGGGGGCAGGATGCATGTGCAGGGGGCGCATGCATGGCGGGTGCTCGCATTGCATTTTGGGTGTTTGTGCGCACCCCGTTTTGGGCCTGGAAAGCCTCCTGCACCAACCTGGAACCCAAAATGAGGCATGGGGGGTGGGGTGAATGCAAGGCACATGTGTGGGGGTGCTCGCATTGCATTTTGGGGGTTCAGGCACACGCATGTGCGCTTTGGGCACTCGGCACCAAAAAGGTTAACCATCACTGCTCTACTATCTTCCTAAGAAGACCAGAATAATGTACATGGAGTTCTTTGGCAGCCTTTTTTCTAGATTTAAGGTTTGCA